GGCAGGATCTGTGCGAGGGGAAGGAGGAGGAGCCTTTGGAGGGGCTTCTCATGGGCGTTGTGAAGGCGAGAGGGAGCTTGCAGGGAGGGAGGGAGGGGCGAGGGGTGGAGATTGGGAGTACTCTCGTGGATTCCTGCACTGCTGCTGCTGCTGCTAGCGCTGCTCGGGCTGACGCCACTGCTGCTGATGAGGACGAGGATGGCGATAGTGATGATGCTGCTGCTGCTGCCTCGGCTGCAGCGGCGGCTGCCGCTGCTCCTGCTGCTGCTGACGACGATAGCGATGATGATGCCGCCGCTGCTGCAGCTGTCGGTGTTGCTGCTGCTGCTGTTGCTGCTGCTGCTGTTGCTGCTGCTCGCACTCTTGTTGTGGGAGTTGCTGAGCTACGAGCTGGCAATGCCAGGAGAAGATTTTGGGAAGCAGGGGCGGGGGATACACCAGGAGCAGCGAGAGGAGCCTGAAACAAGATGGGCGGTGCTGCTTGAAGTGCAACGCTCATACGAGCCTTCAGACCATCCGGCAGAGATGCTGCTGCAGCGACAGTAACAGAGGAAGAACACTGAGCAGCAGGAGGCCGCACAGAAGCACCAGGTACAACATCAGGGGAGGCTAGTCCAAGCGAGGCAGAGACATTAGCAGGAGTAGCTTTAAAAGAAGGCGTGCTTTTAGCAGGTGTTCTCTTAGACGACGGTCTGACGGTAGGCGTTTTCTTGGAAGCCGTTTTAATGGGAGTTGGAGTCAGTTTGGAGGCAGGTTGCTGGGTGCGAGCAGAGGGGTCGGCGGCAGCAGGAAAGGTCGTGAGGGAGAGGGCAAGAGAGAGGTGAGGCTCGGAAGATTCTGGAGTGAACGGGGCTGGCGGGGGTGAGCTAGAGCTGGGTAGTGAGTGGGGAGTGTAGGCGGCGGGTGTGGATGGCATTGAGAGTGAAAGAAAAGGGAGAGAAGCTGGTGGTAGGGAGGAATGAGGTCTGTCTTCACTGGAACTTGGTTGAGCTTTGGAGAAATGATTCAGAAAATCCATGGGCTCGGTTGGGTGCGGTGCTGATGAGGGGTGAGGCGCGGAAGAAGTGAGACTCAAGTCAAGATGCGGCGATACGCCCCCGGGCCGTTTAAAGGACATCTCAGCAAGAAGCTCGGCGCAAGGCTGGGCACAAGGCTCGGCGCAAGGCTTGGCACAAGGCTCGGCACAAGCCTGCACATTCATCCAGTCTCGGCTGCTGCTGCCTGGAATCGCATCGCATTCGAACTCCATACTCTGGCTTGCACCTTCGCTCATGCACTTCCTCTGACCCATGCTGCAACCGGCGCTGCCGCTGCTATTCCCAGAAGCTTCCCCTTCCTCAGAAACACATGCCGGCTCCGAAACACTCCTCCGAGCGAGTCTTGAGAGGGAAACAGGAGCAGCAGGAGCACGGCATTCACGGATCATGACGTCAGCGTTGAACCCAGGTATGAGAGGAGCAAGTCGGACCGCGTTCTCGTGCACCATGGCTATTACTAGGCCAATGGTACCAGTAACAACGGATGGCGGCCTTTCCAGGACTCAGTGGTACCAGTAACAACGAATTTGAAAGAAACCGTTCAGCGGTAACTCATGCTAGAAAGAAGAGCTGAATGCTAGTAGTAGTAGCATCACCGGTAGTGAAGACGATTAGTAGCGTATCGAGCAGCGCAACTGAAGCGTTTTCTGGTCCCGAGAGATGGGGATGATGTGGGCATTGGCTGGCCGAGGCTTGTCCAGTACTAACGGCCCCCAGTGCTACTAACAACATCCGAAATTCTTGCTCCCAGAATGCTCATTTCCATGTTTTTAGCTGAATTAACAGCTACACAATCAGCATCCGCCGCGTTTTCTGTCCCTCCACTCTCTGCTTCTGCCCCGTGGCGCCAGGCCACGAGCAAGGTGCCAGGTCAAGTCCTACTGTCTCGTCAAAGCATGCAGCGAATGCCTCGCGTTGGGCCCACACGGAATCCAATCACCTCGTTTATAGATCCTTGCTGCCAGTATGCTATTCCAGCTGGGGCACGGAGGTGCCAGATTGGTACACGGAATTATGGTCAATGGAAAGCGTCTTGGTAGAATCATTCGGACAAGAGACAGGTTGAAGATTTTTTTCGACTTGGATAACAATCTGAAGAAGGAAAGAAACAGGCTGACGCTGCATAAGATTTCATTTGAGAGCTGCAAGTCTGCTTGATCTGAGCTGGCCGGAAGGCTGGCATTGGCTGTGGAATTTCGTTCCAGATGGTAAATGAGGTGGATACCGTCGAAGTGGGACGCATTCCGTCAGACCTAGAAACGGAAACTCCGAACTGTTCTTTACTCTGGAAGGGCGCTGTGCACTTGCACAGTTTCACGCCTGATGCAACTGTCGGGTTGCGCATTCAATAAGCTGTCTCTCTTCAGCGATAAACGAATGGTTGACAACTGACCGTCACTCGAGACAATCCTGAGCGTCCATTTCTTATCGCTCTGGGATGTGCTGGAGCAGCACCATGAATGGTCCTGGCAGGTGGTCCCACCGAATGTCAGCCACCCCAGCGATTCTGCCGAGGCAGGCGCAGCTGTACATTATAACAAAGCCACTTGTAGTAGAGATCGCCTGGACCATTCCGTGACGCACATTGCGGCGGTCTGCTGGCCATGGAGATTTGAGTTACAACCCACCTCAGAAACGAAGCGATGTGCCGTCAAATTTCGCCAACGAGAAAATGACACGCGCACTCGCTGGCTGTCAGGGAAGATCCAAAACCAGCCCAGTCTCAAACAGGTTCCGTCAAAGGTGGAGGAGGAGAACCCACACGCAATTCTCCATAAATGAGAATCTAACACTGCTAACCAAAACAGCAAAATGCAAGCTGGAACTGGTAGGAATAGCTGTGAATGAACCACGCAATAGCTGGTAACCACCACATGTACAACTCCTCGAGCTAGCTCTGGCTGATTGCCTTGGCCGAAAATCGTTTCACAGCTGCTTGCAACCCAGCGCGGCACCAGCAGGCCAGTGGTGCAATCTCGTGGAATGCCTCGTGTGTGTGGACAGCTGCTAACCGCGTCGAAGTACAGTTTTTGTTACAGCTGGTTTAGGGCGTGGTCCCAGAAGTACGTTTGAATGCGGCTCAATTAGGCTTGGTACAGTCTAGAAAGGTCTATTCAAGATTTAGAGTGGTAAGGTGGGGTTTACAATCAGATGTTGGGAATTTTAGGGCGGGTCCAGCGCGTACTACAGTTCATTCGTAGTGGTTTGAAAAGATACCAAACGATGCACAACGGTTCAAAAATTGCACCGTTTTGAACCGTGACGCAATACAGATTACCGTACTGGATAACTGTAATGTACGGAAAACGTACGAGCTGGATCCGCCCTTAGAGGTTGGTTTGGGAGATTGGCAGGTCATTGGAAAGGCGGAAGGGTAGGGAAACTTTTGTTGGGGGTTTGACTGCATACGCGTTAGAAATCGATGCGTCCTGCGATGGGTCCTGGTACATGTTGTAGACTTATCTACACACAATATCAACATTCAGTTCCATCCCCACTTCAGCGATTTGTTTCTTCCATATTTTGTAGCCGTTGGATCGTCGTCGCACACGAATCCTGACCGACAAATATACCAAGCAGGCAGATCAAGCACCACTGTGGTTCCTTAGGGCTACGTCAGGTTATACATATCTCACGCGTTTACTAATCTTGTATCGTTGTTCAGGACGGTCTAACACGTTGAAAAGCGGTTCCCGACGTTTACCGCTCTGAACCGTGTTGGCACGAAGTTACCCTACAACCTGACGTCGCCCTTTGTGAAAAAGAATTGCTGCCATCATCTTGGGAACTTCTGACGGTGGAAAACGAGCCGAATCTTGACGGGGGCTGATTTTTGCCACACCATTCTCCAACCACGGTGAGCCTCCAAGAATTGGCTCCGAGAATGCTGGGACCTGGTCAGCACCATTCACACGCAAACGTTAGGGCAGGTTTCAAAACTCGATTACCGTTCTTGGGGCTGTCGGCACAAATCGTGTAATGTCGAAATTTACTTTATACATGCTGTGTAGCGACCAATCCTGTGTTTACGACTCAGAATACAACCCTGCCTTAGACCTTTTGGGTAGTGCGAACCAAACGAGCTCGTAGAGCCTTTTCTTGAAGTGCCTCTCCTCGCCTATCATATTCTAGTCCGCCCTGCTCTTTTGACCGTTATCACACAACAGCGGATTCCTAAGTTGCTGTTTCCTAGGTGGCTGCTAGAGAATGTAGCGACATCCCACAACACAGCTTATTATCCATAATCTACCTACCATAATGAGATCTATCGTTCTTTCTCGAACTCGTCATGCCCAAGAATCGTTAGGTCCTCCCATGCGGAGCTACGTTTCACATCTATCGAGACTGATAACTCCTAAAGACGCAGCAAGCCACTCGATCTCGTCACAAGCAGCCGGTAAACACGTGATCAGAGCATCGCAGCCGTCGATACTACCCCCTCGATCGCATCCCCTGCCTTCCCAGTGCTTACACCATCTTCAAGGAGCATCGCAACCGTCCGTTGCCTCCTCCGGGCAGATCCGGTTACTCCGATCCTTGTACTCTCGGGTTGTTTCTCGAACTGCATCTCCAACTTCTTCCTCGATCGGCAGCAGTACCAGTGCCACCGTTATCGCGGCAAGGTTGACGCTTTCCCGTCAGATCTCGCGGGAATCCAGCCGTCTGTTTGAGCAGTCAGCAGCTGTCAGGCTCCTGCGATCCGGCAACCTCGCGGCTCGAGAAGTGGCAGAAGGAGCCGCTCGAGAAGCCAGGGAGAAATGGAGCCACTTGTTGCAAGGCGCGGCGGATCGGTGTCGTCCTCCTGTCTTCTTTTTTCCGCCTCTCGCGCGAACCTTCGGCGCCGCGAGCCTCGCGGCGTCCAAGTCGCAGATCGCGCCGCGGCTAGTGGCGATTATTCTCGGGGAAGCAGCGCTTCGGCGGACCACGGGTTCGGGTAAAGACGGGTTAGCGCACGCGGAGCAGATGTTCGGCGCAGCGCAGCTCAAGTCGCAAGTGCAGGCGCAGCACCACACCAACCCCGTTATAGACTTCCTTCTTGAAACGCAAGAAGCGATTCGACTAGCTCTTAGAGCCGTGTACCTGATGTTTCTTTTCCTGCCCGCGATCTTGACCGGCCCGTTTGCGGACATGGCGGGAGGGCGGTTCCGGCAGCAGTGGCTAGAGCTGGTTCATAAGACGCTAGAGTGCGCGGGGGCAGCGTTCATAAAGTGGGGTCAGTGGGCGGCGACGCGGCCCGACTTATTTCCGAAAGACATGTGCGCGCAGCTGTCGAAGCTGCACACGAAGGCGCCGGCGCATCCGTTCAAGACGACGCAGCGCATCGTGGAGCGCGCGTTCGGACGGCGATTGGAGGAGATGTTCGACGAGTTTGACGAGGAACCCGTGGCATCGGGGAGCATTGCGCAGGTACGCCTTGTGTTTTTGTTTTCCCCCTTTTGCTTCTTTTTGCAAGCTGGTATCTTTTCCCCTTTTGCCGTCCCCCATTCACCTAACCTAAGCAACCCCCCCTCCCCACCCCCACCCCCTTCCTCACCACCCCGCCCTACCCACCCTCCCCATCCCCCTCACCCCTCTCTCCCCTCAACACCCTTCTTGCGTGCGCAGGTGCATCGCGCGGTGCTGACGAGCCGCTATCCGCGCGCGGAGCCGAAGATGGTGGAGGCGCCGCGCATGGTGGCGGTGAAGGTGCGGCACCCGGGCGTGCGCGAGGTGATCCACCGCGACTTCGTCATCATGAACTGGGTCGCGCGTGCCACGAGCCTCGTGCCGGGCCTGCAGTGGCTGCGCCTCGAGGACAGCGTGCAGCAGTTCGCGGTCTTCATGATGGCGCAGGTGAGGGCAGGAGGGTTTTGGGTTCGGGGTATGGTTGGGGGGACTGATGAACTACCAGCCTCGTGCCGGGCTTGCTGTGGCTGCGCCTCGAGCACAACGTGCAGCAGTTCGCCGTCTTGATAATGGCGATGGTACGGGCGTGGGGAATGGGAGATACGGGGTCGAGGTTTAGCGGAGGGGTTTGGGGTGTGGTGTTGGGGGGACATTGGTCTGGGGCAGCTTCTCATTGGTCTAGGGGAGTCCCTAGAAGCACGCTCTGCAAGCTACCTTCGTAAGTGCCCTTCCCTGGTTCCCCAGTCCCCTTTGTGCGGGTTGACTTGGCTCGAGAGGCTGCCCAGCTGAGTCGATTCAACTACTATTTTCGACGCTGGCGCAGCATTAGCTTCCCAAGGAAACACGGAGACTTCGAAATTGACTCAGAATCTACCTGGAAATTTATATGCCATCTCCTGCCTATCCCTTGTTCCTCTCTCTCCTCTCCGTCAGGTAAATCTGGCCCGTGAGGCGGCCCAGCTGAGTCGATTCACTACAATTTCCGCCGATGTCGCAGCATCAGCTTCCCCAAGCAGGCGTGGAGACTTCTGAAACCACTCATAATTCACCCAGAATCTCAAAGCTTTTAGTCCTGCGAATCCCTTGTTCCGTGCTCTCTTCTCCCTCAGGTGGATCTGGCCCGTGAGGCGGCTCAGCTGAGTCGATTCAACTACAACTTCCGCCGATGGCGCAGCATCAGCTTCCCCAAGCCGCTTTACCCGCTCGTGCATCCCGAGGTGCTCGTGGAAACGTTCGAGTCCGGGCAGAGCGTGTCTCGGTACGTGGATCGGACCGAACCTGGCGGCGTGGTTGGGCCGGAGGGCAAGGGAGCGTGGCTCGCCGCCGAAGCTGAGAAGGCTGCAGCTGATGCTGCCGCCGCTGCTGCTGCAGGAGTGGCGGGGGGAAGAGTAGGAGGGAGCAATTCGGAGAGTGGGGTTGATGACAAGAGAATAGCAGCAGCCAGCGCAAAGGAAGGCAGGCCGGAGGGCGGGGAGGGCGTGACAGGAGATAGGGAAGGGGGAGGGGCAGAGAACGTTGATGATGATCCCAAGGCAAAGAAGAAGCGGCGGTGGTTGGTGCGGGGCCGGCCGTTCAAGCAGTGGTGGGAGAAGCGGGCAGGGAACAAACTCAACATGGAGCTGGCGGAACTCGGCTCACACACGCTTCTCAAAATGCTCCTTGTAGACAACTTCATACACGCGGATCTGCACCCGGGGAACATTCTCGTGCGCATGCAGCGCGGGCATTTGCCGTCGGCGCCTGAGGAAGGGGTGGGGCTGTCGCTGAGCTCCCACCCGCACATTGTGCTGCTGGATGTGGGCATGACTGCGGAGTTGGAACCGAGGTTTAGAGCGAATATGCTGGAGTTCTTCAAGGCCATTGCGGTTAGAGATGGCCGGCAGGCTGCGGCGTGCACGTTGAAATTCGCGGACAAGCAGAGCTGCGCCGACCCCGACGCATTCATTCAGGTATGGAGACGCACTCAGGTAGGAAGAGAGCCTGAGGGGTGGGGCTGGTAGGTGCTGAAGGGGTGGGGCTGGTAGGTGCTGACGGGGTGGGGCTGGTAGGTGCTGAGGGGGTGGGGCTGTCGCTGAGCTCCCACCCGCACATTGTGCTGCTGGATGTGGGCATGACTGCGGAGTTGGAACCGAGGTTTAGAGCGAATATACTGGAGTTCTTTAGGGCGATTGCGGTCAGGGATGGTCGGCATGCTGCGGCTTGCACCTTGAAGTTTGCGGATAAGCTGAGCTGTGCCGACCCGGATGCATTCATTCAGGTATGGCAGAATCTTTTCTTGGTTGAAGGAACAGGCAATACGACCTCTGAATCCCGGCTCACTGATGACCCAACCCCGCAACCCTCTCCTAACTCACTCCCCTTCCACTCCCGGCACTCATGAGGACGTGGATGACTCATTCAAGGGGTGTGACGCCACTGGCTTGTTCACCTCCTCCCGAGCCTGGCGTATTGATCCTTCTCACTCACCAATTCCATGACCCACTCCTTGTGTACTCCCAACCCATGCCTGTGGCACTCATCAGGACGTGGACAACTCGTTCAAGGAGTGGGACGCCACTGGATTGCGCATACCAACGGGTGACTGCATGCAAGACCTGCTGGAACATGTAAGTAAACTCGGCTCTTGGCCTTTGTTGTTTGCGCTGGTTGGTGCCCTTGTTTCCTTCTGATAGCCGCTTATTCTTAAAAGTTTGATTTTGAGACGTCTCGAAATCCAACTTACATCATGTGGCAGATTGGTGCCGTTGTTTCCTGCTGGTAACTGCTTTTTAGGTAGAGTCTCCCCTCCCTTGTCTTGTGCCCTGATTTGTAGCTGGATTGAGTCAGCCAGGTCTTCAGAGTCTCCTCTCCTTTCTCTTGCATCGTTTCCTCCCCTAAGTCGATAGTGCCTTAACGTGTCAACTGCTGTCTGTCTGTGCCTGTGGCTCTGCCTCTCCACTCCTTGTGTGCCATACCTGCTTTGGTTGCCATGCCTGGTTGTGTGTCTGTTGAATTTTCCTCTGTGTGCCCTTCCAGGTGCGAAGGCATCGGGTGAACATTGATGGGAATGTGTGTACTGTGATTATCACCACCCTTGTGCTCGAGGTACGTATTTGGCGTACGTCATTCTAAATTCAGTTCCTAAAATAAGAGAATATAACTGCTGGTAGCATCCTTTTACGTCTTCTGACTTTGGTGCCTCTCATTGTGCTTCTTCCTTTGTGTCTGAGCAGAGCTGGCAACGCAAACTTGACCCAGACCTGAGCATTATGGACCATCTTCGTTCCCTTCTATTCCGCTCCGATTTGGCTGAGAGCTTCAATTACACAGTAGATGCAATCATGGCGCCTTAGAGAAACTCCAAGCATGTCCGGGTAGGCTGGTTATCTAGTTTTTTCGCCTCATGTATTGAACTAGAGATGACTCACATATTGAACATCCAAGTTGATTAGTGTCAAAGAAATGCCCTGCAACTGAAACAATTTGAAGTGGGAGTAGCTTTGCTACTAAGGAGTACAGCAGCCGAGTCATCTCATGACCGTCTGACAGCGTTAGGACGTGGAGCTTTCGACACGAGGGTCTTGATATTAGGGCGGCCGGTAAGTTATCACAGAGGCCTCCATTGATTGGTTACAGATCCAATATCCAGTTTCCTCTTCGCCCAGTCAGTTTCTGCAAAACTGTCGGCCGTCAGTTTCTCTTCTTCCACTCACCTGCCTCCTCTCCCTGCCCAGTTGCACTGCCGTCAGTTTCCAACTTTATTTGTCGATTCCTCGCCCAGCCTCCTCGCCCTGCCCGCTCCCAGTGAACGTCACGCGTCCCTCACTTCCCCTGTCTTGTTCCTTGCGTTGCTGCGTTTTCAACCATGGCCGCCGCGAATCACGCTCGTCGGGTTTCATAGGTGCTTTTTTCAGTGGTTCTGGTTTGCCTCCACGATGTCCGTTCCGAAGGGAGGCACGCTGAGGATCCGGGAGGTGTGGGCGGATAATCTGGAGGAGGAGTTTGAGATGATTCGCGAGATAGTGGATGAGTATCCGTACGTGGCCATGGATACGGAGTTCCCAGGGGTTGTGGTCAGGCCAGTCGGGACGTTTCGCAGCAGCGCGGAGTACCATTACCAGACCTTGCGCGTGAACGTGGACATGCTGAAGCTTATTCAGTTAGGGTTGACGTTCACGAACGAGGATGGTATGCTTCCTCATTTCGGTCAGAACGAGTACTGCGTCTGGCAGTTTAATTTCCGGGAGTTCAATCTTATGGAGGACATTTACGCGCAGGACTCGATCGAGCTTCTGAAGCAGAGCGGCATCGATTTCAACATGAACCAGGAGAGAGGGATTGATTCGTTCCGTTTCGGGGAGCTTATGATTCCGTCAGGCGTTGTCCTTAACGAGAACGTGAACTGGATAACGTTTCACAGCGGCTACGATTTCGGGTACCTTCTTAAGGTGCTGACGTGTCAGAACCTTCCGAGCAATGAAGCAGATTTCTTCAACCTCCTCCGCACATACTTTCCTACCATCTACGACATTAAGTACCTCATGAAGTTCTGTGATAATCTCCATGGCGGTCTGAATCGTTTGGCGGAAACCCTAGAGGTGGAGCGGATTGGTCCTCAGCATCAAGCAGGGTCGGACAGTTTGTTGACGTCAGCAGCTTTCAGGAAGCTAAGGCAGGGTTTTTTCAATGGGTCTGCTGAGAAATATGCCGGTGTGTTGTATGGTCTTGGAGTTGATTGTGAGCAGTAAATAATCTCTTACTGGTATCTGTCTACAATTCTCTTTATGCCAAGCAGCATCTGTCAATGAAACGAAGAATAACAAATACCGGTAAGGTTACCTTCGCAAGCACTGACAATGAAACAGCTCACAAGCAACTCTAATGAAGGAATGCATGTCAGATTGTTAGTGCCAGAAATAAGGGCTCCTACAATTCGCAACACCTTCTACATTCACAATGCCTTACCAGCACTCCTCCCACTCGACCCTCTTTCCAGACTAAACTCTGGCAAAACATCATCCCTCTTCTGCCGTATAAAGTGATAGAGCCACAAGAACGAACTCTTAATCTTCTTTCCGGCACCAGGCACCCCTCTGCTGCTGCTAGCTTGGCTGCTTCCTGAAGGAGTCCGACCCAGCACCTCTTCTGCTGCTGATGACAGGCGGTGGCTTGTAGCGTACGGCAAGAGTGTCTCTTCCGTGGAGAGCGAGACGAAGTAGACGAAGGGAACGAGCCACACCATGGGAATCATGAACCCGAGAAAGAACTCGATCGAGAAATTCGTGCGGAAGAAGTAATACTGGAACCAACCGAAGTTACTGCAGACGAACCCCACACATGAGCCGATGAACTCGGGAGACCCGAGACTGACATACGGGAAGCGGCGGAGGATCAGATAGTAGACGACGTGGCTTGCAATGCCCGTTAGGATGCACAGGATTGATGGACGGTCGAGTATCAAGACGATGACGTGGACAGCGAGCGTGGCTTTGATGTAAATGCTAAGAAGCTTCTTGGACGTTCTAGGATTATCTTCAATAATCTCTGCAATGTAGTAGAGGCCAGATGCGAGAGAGATGGTGAGCAAGACAAGGAAGAAGTAGGCACCCACCCAGGCTACGACTGTGGAAGCAAGCGGCGTTCTGTACATGGCTGCTAGATTACGACGACCGACTGGCTTGATTACGGTATCATAGCTACGCTGTGAGCTGTTTCATGCGACGGTTCGGAGACAAGCAACACGAAACACGCGGAACCCGACCACGCGTCAATTCCTGGCAACAGCGTCCAGCCTAAAGTCGTCGTCCTAAGTACGGAAGCTAGACAGCGGAGGCTATACGAAGGTCAGCGATGGCTGCCTGATTCAAAACCTTCACCATGTTCGAATTCGCCTGTCGACAGATTCACTGACTTACGGATGCATGTATTCATGGAGTCAGGGATGACGCAGCACCAAGAAAGCAGCTGCTCTAGGTGTGGCCCATGTGGTTCGTCTAGACAGCAGGCCTGGAGCTGGCAATTGAAGCCAACAATGGCCGATGTAAAACCGTGCTACTTATCACTGGAACCGTGCTAAATCATTCTATAACGTACTGAAAGGCAAAACATCTCATCAAACCGCAGCGAAGTGCCGTTTTACGATATGTTTTGGTGACAAGCTCCAGAATTAGATTATGGATTCCCATGTGCAAACGTAACGCAGGAACTACCACGAAGCTGGTAACCTCTGCGCTATATGTTCGCAAAACCTCCTCAAGCACCAAAGCAATGCCAAAACCCCGGCAACATGGATTGGTTCCCCGCAGCTCTCTGCCATCGAACAGCCAGTGCACCCACCTCAAGAGTTTTTCGCACCTGCGGACTTCTCCGCCACAGCAACGCACCCGCTGGTCCTCTCATTTCCTTCCTTCCCCGATTCCCACTCTACCTTCCGCTCCCCCTTCCTCTTTCCTCCCTCCCCCTCCCCCCTTCCCCCCCAATTTTCCCCTTCCTCTCCCCCCTTTCCCTTCCGCTCGCCCTCAAAGCCGCCATTGCTCCTCCTCTCCTCCTTTCTCTGCCTACCACCAGCTTACCTTGCGCTTCTTACTAGTTGAGCTCCTGTAGCTCGGACTTAGAGACGTCGTTAGTCTCTTTCGTCGTCGCGTGAGCCATCGCCATGGGTGTCTTTATGTTCATCTGCAAACAGGACGGCGGCAGCTGGTCCGCTAAGCAGGTAGGCGAAGCAGCTTGTACTCAATCCCGACTCTTGACACCTCGTGATGAGAAAGCCGGGCACTAAGCAGTTCGTGTTATTCCCGACCCGTAGCCAAATGTTGCTCGTTAGACATAGACGGTTCCTCTTCTTCTGATCCATAGATTCTCACTTTTGGCTCCTCGCGTCAGTTGTAGATTTCGGTTGGGTCTTCCCGAAGAAGATGGATTAGCCTTTCGTTTTACTAATCTCCATCTATTATTCACTACGCGAGTCCAACTATATTAGATCATTTCGTTCCTTATTGGAAACCCTAATTCCTGCATTCAGCTGCGAAGCCTGATAATTGACAAGATCTCCGTATCCAATGGCGTCCCCTGCATCCCCCGTCTCCCCTTTTTTCGCCGGGATTACACAGTACGCGGCGAAAGTGAACAACAGTGGCTGATTGGAGAGGATATCTTAGACGTCTCAAAAGTCGTGTCCCACGTCTCCCTTTCTCCGGTCCCGCCGGTATCCCCCGCACCCTCACTCCGTTCCGCAGTACGCGGCCAAGGAGGAGGACAACAAGAACCTTACCCCAGGCCCTTTCGAGACGTCGACTCGGCAGTCGATTGTATACCGCCGTTCTTCCCCTTTTCCTACCCCCTCCGCCATCCGTTCCGCAGTACGCGGCCAAGGAGGAGGACAACAAGGACCTCACCGCCGAGGGGTCGGATCTCTACACGCTCGGCCGGAAGCTCGTGTCGCTCGCCATTGAGAACTCCTCCGGCGGCGGCGTCACCTCCTTCTTCTCCTACACCACGCCCAACGCCGGCGTGTACGAGGTAAGTCTGAATAGTATGTACGCGTTATAGGCTCGTGTTGCTCGCGGTTAAGAACTTTTATGGTTGAGGCGTCACCTCCTCCTTCTCCTACACCACGCCCAACGCCGGCGTTTACAGGGTAAACTCGAAAGACTGTACGCATTATAAGCTCGGGAGAATGTTTTCGAAGAGGACGGCGCGCGATGCTCCTTCGCTTGCCTTAATCTCACACCCCTCCCAGCGGCCTCGGCATCTGCTCCTGCAAGTCTAGTTAGGCATCGGTTGGACACAACAAGAAAGGGATGGGGAGATCATGATGAGATCAGATGGTTTATGAGAATCGTTTAGAGTTTTTTGCGCCACATTAAATGACTTGGCGCGGTTTAATTTGGTGTGGCGTGGTGGGATGGGGTGGAGTGGGGTGGAGTGGGGTGGAGTGGAATGTGGTGGGATGAGGTCTTGTGGGCTGAGGTGCGATGGAATGTGGTTTGCAATGCGTTACTGAGCCCTCGTGCTCTCGTTCTCTCACACTCATTATCTACTTTGACTTGGTCAAATTGCTACATATGCTGGCAGGAGAAGGTGGGTGGTGGCCTTGTGATGGCTGCTGCTGCCGGTGCTGCTGCTATGTGCTAACCAACAACATGCTCTTTTTCACGCACTGGTTCACTCAATTCTCCTCGCTCCTGTGTGTGCCTTGTGTGCTGGCAGGTGAAGGTGGGTGGTGGTCTTGTGATGGCTGCTGCTGCCGGTGCTGCTGCCAGCGGCGGTGGTGCTGCTCCTGCTGAGGAAGCCAAGAAGGAGGAGAAGGAGGAGGAGAAGGAGGAGAGCGACGACGACATGGGCTTCTCTCTCTTCGACTAGACTCTGCTCTTTCCTTAATTTCCCCCAGCCGCATACATGTAGACGCCTTAGTAGCAGGATCAGTCGCAATGGCTGAAGTGGTATCAGCAACAGCAACAGGAGCAGCAGCAGCAATAGCAGCAGCAAGAGTAGCAACGGCAGCTGCATATGCTGCGATGTTGTATTAAATATAAACGAATGGTGTTTTCTACCAGATGTTGCTGTTGCTGGTCAAGCACAAAGCTGTTGCCTGTGGTGCTGCTATTGTCAATGCAGATCAGGGCTGTCGATTGGTTTGGAGCCAGAACTTGAGAGGCTGAGGTGCCCCAAGAGTTGCCCTGAAATTTACAGGCTGAGAGCAAACCTGGCACTTGAAATCAGGGCTACCGAGTCCCGACTTCTTTGCACTTTCGCTAAGGGAAACTTAGGGTACATTCCGCTGTGGACACATGTCCCAATCGATGTGTCCCAATTGTTTCTACCGCACTGCATCGTATTACACCAAATTGCACCCTAGTTTCGAAATTTTCGCGTCTCTGGTTTAGTTCGGTTCGGAGCGGTACACTCGATTGGGACATGTCGATTGGGACATGTGTCCACAGCGGAATGTACCATTATATCTCTTTGGGTCCGTTATCCTAGGCCAACTACTAAGAGCCAGGCTATTGTTTACTAGGCAATAGGCTGAGGAAACAAGCATGTTGATGGATTGACGGGGATGGGAAAATCAAGAAGGGGAGTGGCTGGTAGGAGGTGGGGGGACTGGTGAGCGAATGGGAGGGAGGGAGGTATTAGTACGGGACGATAAGGGCTAGCCGCGGGATCTGCACTTGAAATCCGGGTTAGGTCCACAACCAGCACTTTGCGGGGACGGGCTGCCCTCAAAGCCAACCCTTAAAACTCGGAAGCTGGGCCGAACCCAACCCTTAGGCGTATTCCTACGGCCTCCTATCAAGAAACCTCCTATCAAGATTGTACCTTTTGCCTGGTACCGTACAAGTAGTGAGAGATTTTGGGTCTAGGGAATTTTCCAGTGAGAGCTTGATAGGAGGTTTTCTTGATAGGAGGATAGGAATACGCCCTTAATGTTCAGGGCATTAAGGGCATTTGCCCTTGAATCGTCAGCCCTATTGCAGATTGATTGATTTACGGTACTACAATCAGGAACCTGAAATATGCCAACGCAGCTGTCACATGCATACAGTGCCAGAAATGTCTTACCTCTTCAGCTGAATAAACATGGTGGTCATGGCCCGTGGGGGGTGTTGTATCTTGACTCGCTTGCCTTACTGCTCCACTAGCAGGATCATACCATACATGCTCCACTCAAGATTGGTAAGCACAACTAAAGCTAAGCGGATTGATTGAAATTAACCCAAAGAATACTGGTTGCTCAGTTAGCGCTGCTACTGGCCTTGTTGAATCGAAAGGGGGCCTGGGGTGAAGTATGAGTGGAAGAGAGGGAGTCATTGAAGCAACCCAGTTCTCGCGGAGTATCAGCCATGTCCTTGTTCATTGTAGAGTGGGATTTGAGCTGCTTATGAGAGCTAACAGCACCACATTGCACTGTACCATGATCCACCGCACTGCACTGCGGTTCTAATTGTGAGGCTGGTCTAAAACTGGAAGAGGGAGTCACTGGAGTAACCCAGCTCCCGCAGGGCAGCGGCCATGGCCTTGTTCATTGTGTTCATTGGCACCAAACCGCACTGCACCGCATTGCACTGCACTGCGTTAGAACTGGAAGAGGGAGTCGCTGGAGTAACCCAGCTCCTGCAGGGCGGCAGCCATGGCCTTGTTCATTGGAGGGGGGCCACACCGCACCACCTGGCAGCACGTGATTGGAAGGAATGGGCAGCACGTTAATGGAAAGAAATGG